GGGGGTAAATACTGGCCGAGATATTTACAATAGAAAAATTAAGTCGTAATGTAATGCGAAACCGTATGGCCGTCAAAGAGTAAAAGTAATATAAATTAAAGTAATATAAATTTCGTATAAAAAGTAATTTATATTATTTATAAAGTATTTAGTAAAGTATTTTTTAAACTGAATATTGCGCATCCTATCAGTTCAGTAGAGTGTCCTATGTAGCTAAATGTTTCTTTAGTTTAGTTTTAGAAGTCTTAATTGGACGTAAACAACGAAGCGTGGATGGCAAAAGCGTTTTACGTATATGATAACTTGAGTTTTAGTCCATTTATTAGCGCAAACGGCAAGCTTGGAAAATCATGATTTTTGATAAAACAAATGCGCTATTACAAACTGATGATCAGTATCAGCCGAATTTAAATTCCATTGCAACTTAATAATACGGTGTTAATATTGTCGCGCAAGTCACATATTAGCGCCATACAATACAAACTGAAAAATTCAACTTGATGATCGTGGTTGTAGTTATTGATTGTATTTATATGAATCAATTTGTAACTTGATCAATTCAAGTAGAGCAGAAATTAAGAAATCAATTCAAATTTCCATTTTTTTTCCTCAGACACTGCTTTTGCTAAAATAATTTCTCAGTTTAGCAAAACGCGTGTAAGCGATCAAATGTCCAACTGAATATTTAACCTGATATTTTTCATATTATGCGTTCGAACTTCGAACTAAAGTCTGGAACGCAGCAGTTTATGGCCTGGCGGCAACTACTAAAGGAATGTTGATACCTAGCAATCCGACAAAAACCATGCATAAACACCTAGTAATCGGTATATGTCTTGCGTATAAGTCGTAATTTAGCTACTTTGAATTGATTTCTGCTCTATTTGCACCCGGAGAAAACTCACGACTTTTGGCGGAGCGTTGACAGACTCTTTTCACATCGAATCCGTAGCGAGAATCGAACCCACGATCTCAGAGGTGAAAGGCGCTTCCACTGACGCCTGCGCCATCAAAGCCCGAATATTACTAGAATTAACAAAGAAACTTAGATAAAAATGAAGACGCTCTTGATAAATACGATTTTCCACCTCCCTCCACAATTTTAAGAAATAATCCAAAAAGTCACAGTCGCCCCCCCCCCCTCCCCCCTCCCAACACTAATGCATGCATGTATGACTTCAACAGTTAGGTCTAGAGTAACTAGGTAACTTTAGCCAATCGCTTTTTAGTGGTTGTGACCTTAAAAAGTAATAATTTAAGTTTTTTATACGCTATTCTTCTTCTCGTCCTTTTTTACGCAATTACGCGTTTTATCCTCATTTGCGGAATCCGCGTTTTATCCTCAAATGCGGAATCCGCGTTTTATCCTCAAATGCGGATTCCGCGTTTTATCCTCATTTGCGGAATCCGCATCCGGAATCCGCTTCCGGAATCCGCGTTTTATCCTCAAATGCGGAATCCGCATCCGGAATCCGCTTACGGAATCCGCATTCCGGTTCCGCGTTTTATCCCAACCCGTCTTTTATTATTATTATTATTATTAAAACTTATTTACAAACAATAACCCTTCAGCCTACGCTGCTTTTAAAGGGGTTGTTTACATAAAAGAAAGTACAAAAAAAATATTTACAAAATAGTATAAGTATTTACAAAATAGTGTAATTGACTAGGAGTCTTTACAATTGGATATTTTATCAACGTAGGTGATTGTTGAGCTTAGTTTTAAAAGAATGTATCGTCAACTGTTCGTGAACGTCTAAGATTTCGTTAGGTAATGAGTTCCAGGCGGAAGCTCCTCGATATGAAAATGACTTTTTCATAAATGATCTATTAGGTTTATCGAGAGTTAGTTTCCGCCCGTTGCTCCGCATGTGGTGACTTCTATTATCACAGTAGGAGAACATATTACAGATGCACTCCGGCACTATACCTCGGATAGCCTTAAACGTAATTAGAAATTCTCTTTTTTTAAGAATGTTATCTATTGGATGCCAACCTAGACTCTGGAGGATTGTTTTTGATCTTGTGTCATAGTTTAATCCAGTAATTATACGAGCGGCTCGCTTTTGTAATTTATAAAGTTTTTCCAAATTTGTTTTGTTTCCATCGTTCCAAACTGTCGAACAGTATGTAAAGTAAGGAACTACCAGGGAATTGTAAATACGGAGTAAGTCGTTGTAAGGTACGTGTGGTTTTGCCTTTCTAAGCAGAGCTATTGCACTTGAAAGTTTTTGCATTGCTCATTAATGTGTTCAGTCCACCTTAGTTCGTTATCAATTGTAATACCTAAGGGTTTTTTTTGCTTAACTTGTTTAATAATGGATCCGTTTATATGTATACGAATATCAGTGCGAAATTGATTAAGTTTTCTTTTTGAGGCTATTATCATAAATTCTGTTTTGTCTGTGTTCAATGTCAACCTATTTGCTTCTAACCAGTCGTTAACATTGGATAAGTCAGCGTTTAGTTTGTGCTCAATTTCGGCTGGGGTCCTTCCTGTGCATGATAGATTGGTGTCATCAGCAAACATGGATGCTTGTGTGTACTCAAGGCACATTGGTAAATCATTTATGTACAATGAGAATAGCAATGGTCCCAGATTGGAACCCTGTGGTACTCCACATTGAACTGTTTCTTGGCCTGACTTGTTGTTATTAATGACACAAACTT